TAACTGTGAACGAAACATTTATTTAGATGAAACACTTATTTTGTGTAGTGAAAATGATATTTTGTCATTATGTGTATTGTACTAACACAATTGAAAATATGCTGAAATGTTTGAAAAACGTGCACTTTTGATGATCTGTTGTGATATAAGTACTAAGAGTTTTGAAAATGTACCAATTGCTTGTGGAAACTGCGCCAAACCAAGAAAAAAACTGTAAAGGAAGGAATTAAGGGGTGGAAGGCTGAGGTCTACCACACTACACACGAAAAATCAGTGCCGAAAAATCAAAGTCTGAATCTGGGGTGATGAATCCAACTTTACATTTTTGTTTAAATCGTCATCAGCATGTGGAGAGGAGGCCAAGAGAGACGACTGAGTGTATTTATGCAAATCGTGCGTTAAAAACAATAATCGAGTGCCTGTTCAACGTATTCATTGGATCACCATTTTACTTTCCAAAAGAACAATTAGACAACTGTTAATGGCATCGCGTTTGCTTTTTTGTTTGTTTTGAACGAGTCTCTTTGAGTGTTAGGTTTTTAAGGTATTCTGTGTCGGGGTGCACAAGCAAAAAGGCAACATGAGGCTGATGAATTGATGAAGAAACGCACAAAAATAATTCAAAATAGAAATATGAATGAGGCAGTGTTTGCGCAAATACCGCTGATCTTTATTTTCAAGCATCAAGCAGACACAAGCATTAACCGAAAAGAAAAAGGAGTAGACAGAGTTCATGCTTTTGGGGAGCCGATCTAAAAGAAACTGTCCGAGTTAAATGCGTAAAAAAGGCAGGCCTCGTGTGTAGCTGTTTCACTCGTTCAAAAAGTTCCATTAAATCAATAAACATTTTAATAAGAGTGCCTAAACAAAATCATTTAAAATTCAATGGAAGCAACGGCTGTATCGAACCACGTGACTCAGATTCTTTCGGGTGTCAAGAGGGGGCGTGACCGTGTGCACGGGGATCAACAAATTGCAACAAGGGCGCAAACTTGTGTCATTCGTTCGGTTTGGATCTGCAGCAACGAGGAGAGGCACGAGGCAAGCATGAAGGCTATATCTTCACCTGGAGCTCGAGGACAGAGGGCCGCCAGAAGGGTGAGTTACATCTCCGCAGACAGCAACACTTTGTGCAAAAAGCGCGATCGTCCCGTTTGCAGTCTAAAGTGTTTTACTTTTTCGCCCACAAAGATTTCTAAACCTCAGATGGAGAAGCGCAGGCGGGAGCGCATCAACCACAGTCTGGAGACTCTGCGAGTTCTGATGCTGGAGAGCACCCACAATGAGGTACGTCTCTGCGTCGTGGTTTTAATTTCGATTGTTCATAATGTTTTTGTTGTTGTTGTTGTTGTTTATTTTATATGCTGTTTGTGAGTGATTTGATTTTAATGCAGAAACTAAACAATCCGAAAGTGGAGAAGGCAGAGATTCTAGAGAGTGTGGTCGATTTCCTGAAGGCAGAGGAGGATGTACAGAAGGATCACCAGGCTTCAAAGAGGGCCCTGTCCGTGGAGCAGAGACCGGCCTGTGCCTGCCAGTCCAGCTACCATGACGGCATGAGGACCTGCCTGCTCAGGGTCAACCAGTTCATAGCCAGCAAGAGCCAGGAGGCAGGGGAGCCCAGCGGAGCGGCTGTTCGGGCTTCCTTTACGCTTCCAGAGATCCCCATGCACCCCACCACTCCCGGCCACATTCACCATCCTCCTGCTGCTCTGCCTCCTCATCCTCTGCCCTTCCATCACCCCCAGCTCTCTCACCACTACCTGACGCAGACGGCTGGCTTCCACGCTGACACCAGCAATCTGTCCCCCGCAGGTGTGGGGCACATTCCTGATCCCCTGTGGAGGCCCTGGCCTCAGTGATTCCAGCTTATGTGTCCATGTAACTACTGTACCTACTGTAACTATGCGAGCAAAATGTATAAATGTGTATTTTTTAGGCTACTGCGCAGCCTGTATTTAGCTCACTCAAGTCACTTTCTATTACCTCGCACATGTACGAGTGTAATCAGTGATTTCTCTTTTTAAAACGTTGAGCCTCACCTATATGTGCTCATAAGTTTTTTTTTTGTTTTTGTTTTTTGTTTTTTTTCCACATTTACGCATCAGTACGTAAAACATTTATTTGTGCTGACAGGACGGGCGAAAAATTGCTTTCCCTGCTTTACTGTTGCTGAGGGTTTTGTTTTTGTTTTTCCCTCTTTTTTTGGCTCGAACGTGTGTTGAGCCACTGTGTGTGAGAAATAATTCATGAATGTGTTTGCTGAGTCTTCAATAAAGACACAGTTTGCTCAAACCTCCCAGAGTGGCCTGTTGTATCGTGTGAAGCTTTTAAAGCTGCTGCACTTGTAGATGAAACGGGCACAGGATAGTTAACCACAACGATCGACAGTTATGACATCCTTTGTGATGCTGATAGGCAGGCGAATCATCAGAGCAGTTTTTTTTCGGGGGTAGAGGAGCAAACAATGGCGCCCATTCACACACTGTCCAGAGTCTAGACTCCTTCAGGGTGCGGCACCATCCAATCCACAAAATCCTCCCACGTCAAAGAAAAGGCTATTGGAAACTAAAAAGCAAAACCAGGTGTGAAATGGAATATATATATGTGTATGTAT